TGACTACCTTTCTGAGCCTTGATCTCCTCATTTGCAAAATGTTCATGATAATAGTATCTATTTTCTAAGGTTATTATGAGGTCATATGAGATATTGCATCTAAAGTGCTTAGCATAGCCTGTCACATCTAAGTGCATATTATCATTATTATTATAAGTATTATTCTCTCCCTTTTATAGATGAGGAAACAAAGCCTCCGATTGAAGACTAATGACTTGCTAAAAGATCACACAGCTAGCAACTGGCAGGTTCACAACTCACCTCCAGGTCTCTTTGAGTCCATAGCCCAGACTCATTATCTCACACCACACTACTTCCTAGAGTTTTCCTAGGCTGCTGTCAAAGGGGCTCTGAAGACTAATGAGCAACACGGGGCAGAAACAGTGTTTGGGGATGTTCTCAGCCTACTAACAACTAGGTTAGAAAGCAGCAGTGGGATGAAAGCCATTTATCCAGAAGTCAAAAGAATGTATAAGCAGTAAGATATTTGGGTGGCTATACTCATATGGTAGGCTAATCTATATTCCACAATAAATGGTATATAGAAGTTGGCCTTCTGCAAGGTATAGTTTGAGGGGCACCAAAGGTCCCTCTGATCCTCCAGTCAAACTCCTCCTTCCTCTCACACACAAAATGTCTGAAATGCCAAGATTGGTGAGCCATTCCTTTGAGTTATGATATTGTTCTAGTTGCTTCCAGCCAAAATGCAACAATCGTGAGACAAAAGTCAGTCACCTCCATAGAGAGTTTATGAGTTAAACCTAAACTGAAAGCAGAGGGTGGGGCCTGAGGGAATAACTCTAATGACAAAGAAGTTTGGATGGGATGGGAAAGGGGGATTTGAGGAAAGGGAAGGATAGGTTCACAGTATGCAACAGTGGGGGCCTTGGGAAGCATAACAATATAGGGTCTCAGAAAGATGGGTGAAAGCAGCATGGAGGTAGGAGGCCTTCTAGTTCCTAGTTTTGCTACTGGCCTCCAGGGATCTCTGAGTGTATATATTTCCTAGCTGTGTTACAGGGCATACTCAGCTCATGGCTGAGGATCCCCCAAAGTTGATACCAGGTATACCAGTATGGCTGCCTGCCCCCAGACAAAAATCAAACGAATATAAGTCAAATGTTGGTGAAAATGGAAGTCAGCTTCTATTCAGAAATACTGGTGACCTGAGGAGAGGTGTTAGGCTAACTCATCTTTCTGATAAACCTGAAGGAGACTGGCCAGGCTAAAGCCATCTCAAAGACTCAGGTTTACTGAGGGGGGTTTTTAAGAGGGGGATGAGGGAATGGAACATGGGAAATGAAAAGCAGGAGGGAGAAGGAAGTGCAAGGGGCCAGGTGCAGTTTCACCAAGACTCCATCTGGTTTCTGCTCTTGTCCTTGCTGTTAACTCATGGTCCTGCTGGAGGAGTGGAATTAGCATAGCTTTACTGATGTCTTTCTTGGTTTCCCAGTGTGTGGATAATACGTGAAAGTCTGGCAAATGCATGCTAAGAGAAAAGCTGTATTTTTAAAATCTTTTAGAGCCCATGTGGTTTTAGGTCCCAACATGGCTTCAGTCCTGCTCACTTCAACAACTGTAGTTCTCATTCTCAGGTGTGAGGGCTTCCTTAACCACCATGCCCTCCAAACTACCTGCCCAGGGGAGGCTATTCTTTTCTGGGTTCTCTTCTCCCTCTTTCTCTCCTTTTCCGTTTTTTGGAAAGCAACACATCCCCAACTGTCCCTACCAACTCCCCCACCCTCGTCTCCATCTAATTTCTCCTCTGGTCCCTTCTCCCAGGCTTGCCTTTCCTCCTCAAAACATCTGAAGCCAATGAATTAGCTTTGACATTGGGCCCAGATCACTGAGCATCCTGGGAGCCACAGATGGGCAGATTCATGTATAAGATAAATCGTTCCTAGAGGCTTTTTCAGAAACAACACAAAGGGTCAGGGGAACAAAGAGCATGTTGGCCACCTCGGGCTGCTCAGGGCTCCAAGGCGGACCTGGCACCTGGGCTTCGTAGGTATTGCAGCCTTCTCTTGATTTCCTGCCCTTGAGCAAGAAAATTGCAATAATGTTACAATCCATTTTTTTTTTTTCTGGTCTTCTCCACAAATACATTTGCAAGTTGCTATCATTGCTGCTCTTTAAGATCCTGAATCTTTTTTTGCAGTAAAATAACCATCTGTATTTAGATCTAATTTAGACTTTTTGTAGAGCTGGAATAGCAGTCCAAGCAGAGGCAAGGTTTAGAATGAGTGTCTGGTTGTGAACAGCAGTCCCTCTCAATTGATTTTATTCTATAAAGAAACAATTTGGGGAGGGGAGGAAGCCAATCACCAAGCCAAAAAATATAACCATTGTATTTTTGCAGCATGTGGCACTTTTCAAAATATTTTCACGTTTATTGTCTTATTTGATGCTCACAACCACTTGATGGGCTAGATAGGGTAAATAGTATCTCAACAAATGAAGATAGAGGCTCAGGGTAAGTGAATTGCCTAAGGTCACAAAGCACATCATGGGCAGAGTGGCCTTAAAATATAGGTCTTCTTTGAGTCTAGGACAAGGACTTACGCCTTAGAGACCACCACAGCCTTTGCCAAACCAGGGTGGTTGATATACAGATGTATGAGGTGCTCAAGGAGGGAGGGAAAGGAAAAAACACATGAAACTGTCTTAAAATTTATTGAAATACAGCTTTATGTAATACTAAACCATGCTCAAAAGTGGTTCTGCTGGAATGCTTTCTCAGTTCTCTGCTTGAACATCTAAAATAGGACAGCCTCTTCCCTGTTTCAACTCTTTATCCTTGCCACTCAATCTATTCCCAGATTCTGCCTAAAGATTAACCTAATTTGCTTTCTTAGCTCTGAATTTTGGGTACAAGCCAAGGAGTGGAAGAAAAACAGTACTGCCCTTCATGGCGCTCAACAAATATGACAAGGTTGAGACGAAAAAGAAATTTCTGATTCCTTCTAAGTCAGGGTGACTGACACATGGAACCAGTTTTTGAAAGCCAACCCTATGCCCTCACTACAAAAATGATAGTGAAAATATTATGCTTGCTCTATTTTTGTTTTTAAAACTGCTGGTACAATCCCTTAGGAAGTTGCAAAAATCAGTTGAGCAGGTTATGACTAGTATTTTCAAAAAATTAATAGAATTAAATAGAAAGTGCTAGAAACATTTAAAATGGTAAGTATCAGTTTTATTTGGGGTATATATTTTTATTTATACATCTGTATGCTGGGTTGTGATATTAAATATACTTCTTACTGTGGGTCATAGTAAACATTTTGAAAGCACCCAACCTAGAATCCCAGATTTATGTTGTATCCTAAGACCCTCCATCTAACACATTATTCCAGCAATGCTCTACATCTCCCTACCTTTTAGTGCTTCTCTAGAAAACTAGACTGACTTCTACAGCCCACTGACAGTCATCAAAAAGTCTTGTACAGAAAGTAGCATCTGGCAAAGGGAAAGTACTTATTAATACAGCAGTCTGTAAAATGTATTTTGAGTCACATTACTTATAAAGTATGCTATGAGTCATTGCCTCAACGTTTCAGTCAACGACAGACCACATATACAATGGTGATCCCATAAGATTATAATGGCTATACCACTCTAGGTGTGTAGTAGGCTATATCATCTAGTTTTGTGTAAGTACACTCTATGATGTTCAACACAATGACAAAATCACCTAACAACCCCATTTCTCAGAACATAACCCCATCCCTCAGAACATAACCCCATCCTTAAGTGACACGACTGTACTTGTATCACACAGAGTCAACCGTCAAATGAAAAAGCCAAATATGCCCTACCATTTCCCCCTAGACATGTGCGGTTATGTTAAAGAATAACTTATGTTATTATATTACCAAAAAAAAAAAAAAAAAAACTAGCAAATGAAGTCCCCTTCTACCAAAATTCCCACCTCAGTTAATTGCAGGCAATAGTGAATCCAGGAAAGCTTCAGAATAAAAGAACTCACAGTACATTATTGGCTTTTTATTTGATTTATTGCTCCTTTCCCAAACACTGCACTTATCCTTCAACCTCACTAGAACTATCTTTTTAGACATAATATACATTATACATTACTAGGTAATTTCCAAAAACCAGGAAAATGTTATCATGACTCAAATTCACTGATACATATGCACGCTTAAAGGCAGTCTGTGGCTCTTCCAGTCATATAGGCTAGTCATAAGATACAAATGACACTGTGACAGAGTTTTGAGTCATGAGTTACTAGCTTCTTAAGTTTACAGCCCTTCACTTCCACTAATGCCTACAAATGCAGACCTAAGTAGATTACTTTTTATCTAGGGAAAACTCACTACTGTATTTCACCAATCTAAGATGCTATCAATTATAAGACTCACCATTATTTTATGTAGCACTGAGAAAGAAGAAAAAAAGGGTGACTAAACTCTAACATGGCATCGATTTAAGATCCATACCAATTTCAGGGATGTTAAAATGTGAAAAATACAAGTATCTTAGATCAAATATGGTATTTGATTTTAAGGGCTACTGTCTTTTCTCACTCTTCTCCAAAAGAATCTGTTGACATTTTTAAATATAGAATTAAAGTTAATGGGACCATTTCTTTCTGGAAATCAATTGTACTTTGGTTTTGCTGCCTACTGAATATAGCATTTTGGCCAGTTTCTCAAGGTTAAGATTTCCAGCTTCTCACCAGAAACTTCACTGCTACCTCAAACAGGTGATCTTGGGAATGTGAACATAAGGGTACTTCAAAAAGCTCATGGAAAAATAGAATTAAAATACTAATCTTTCCATGAACTTCTTGAAGTACCCTTATACTTGGTAGGAAAAGAGGAAGAATAGGGTAGGCTATAGAAGGGACAAAGAAAAAGTCTAAGGTGTCAACCATTGTATTCAACATTCTAATGTGTATTTTAATTTGAAAAACCTTGTCTTGTAAAGAAACAAGTACCTATCCTGGAGCTTTAAAACAAAAATCAAAAGACCTTAAATCAAGTTTGAGAAAACTTGTCACAAGGCAAATTTTACTTTATTTTTTCAAGTTATAAAAATATGAGCATGTCAAAAATACAGTCTTGTCCATATAAGAGTAGTTCCAGCCATTTAAAAGTTATAGAGTTTAGAGAGTTCACATACAAGTCTTAAAACATACAATTCATGAATAATACACACCATTCAATTCAATTATTGCTAGTTATATGCAGCTTTCACTTGAGATTGTTCTCCATAACGGAAAGGGCAGTATTTGGGTATTCTGATTGTTTCTGCTGAAGCTGTGGTTCTTAAAAAACAATCCAAAATAAGAATATGCTCACTTTGAGTAGAATATAATGTGTAAGTTTTGATCAATACTATAAGAAAGTGTAGTCTAAATTTCAGTTCCACTTTATTTGATTCTATTTTGTTAGTATATCATATGTATAGTGTGTAATTTTCAGCAAGAGTAAATGAACTACTAGTTTTAAAATTAAGTGATAGGAAACATTAATTTTCATTTGCAATGTAGCAACAAAGCTGGCATAACTAGCTTAAAAACGTTAAAAAATGTTAAAGACATTTAAAGTTTAACCAAAAACCAAAGGCAGATTTTTTCCCTTTAGAAGCTGAAATATAAAATAATCAGTTTGTTCTTCTGAAATACATCATGAAGATCTGCTATTCGCTATTTTCTCTTTAAAGACAATGAGTTAGTCACATAACAGAGATTTATTTACTCAATGCCACATGGAAGAACAAATAAAATTAAACAATTTTAACTTTAAATAATTAAAGAAAAGATAATGCAGCTAACAGTGCAAAACACAAGGGAAAAACAATGACTTATTTTCGGGGTGGATAATACATAGTAGACTTTGGGCCTAAAGTTCACATGGAAGACTTAGAAGTTAAGGGTGTCACAAAGAGAATGCAATGGCTTTATTTCCAACTTTCGTGTTAGACCCTGTTACAAGCTTAAGTTTATTGCTGACATTTTACCCCCATAAGTTCTTGAATAAGTTGAGAGACATATTGGTGATAAGTATGAGGTGAAGTGAAAAGACCTTAAAAAATCATTCTTAGAGCAAAAGTGACATTTATGATCATTTGGTAAGGATACGTATTAACTCAAGTGATTTAAACCCTAAAAAAAGGCTACATTTTTAGGAGGTAGAAAGCAAGTACCAAAATTTACCACCGAAATTTGTCATACCCCCCCCCCCTTACTTTTGGCTTCAACCTTGGATTTCTACGTTTCTCGTTTCCCATTCTCCCATTAAAGCTATTAGTTCTACTACCATTCATTACCTAACTTTATAGACCTGAAGCTGCCAAGAAAACTTTTTAAGAAGTTTTGTTTTTAAGCCACCAAATATGCCCAATACTCAAGTATCAACTGAGGACATCTGCACCTCTCCAGTTGTCATACCCCCCCCCCTTACTTTTGGCTTCAACCTTGGATTTCTACGTTTCTCGTTTCCCATTCTCCCATTAAAGCTATTAGTTCTACTACCATTCATTACCTAACTTTATAGACCTGAAGCTGCCAAGAAAACTTTTTAAGAAGTTTTGTTTTTAAGCCACCAAATATGCCCAATACTCAAGTATCAACTGAGGACATCTGCACCTCTCCAGTTAATTCACTTCATAAGAAAACATGCCAACATAAAAAAATACTTAACATGAAAAAAGACGATTGAACATCTCCACATGCAATTCCAATATGTCTTCTCCATAAATACATATTGTGGAGAGTAGTTATGCAAACCTAAATTTTTACTGCTTTCATTGAACTGATTTGAAAAATATATTAAAACTACGTTACCAGTGTTAACTGAAAACAGGCACGTATTTTGCTACAAAATTAACCTAATAACCAAAAAACCCCACTTCCTCCCAGAGAATTATGTTGTGCTCATATCGCATTTATGGTATTATAAAAAGATTTCATTTTTGCGATAGGCTGGGTTCACAGTGAGTATGTTAGTACCAAGAATGTGTATTTAATATTACTATTACAATGTCTTTAGTGGAATGTATATAAGGCATGTAAAAAACTAGTATTAAAGTTCTTAAGGGCAACGATCCAAACTGGCAGCTGCTAGAAAAGGTGCTGCTAGGAATAAAAAACTATTAAGGAAATTTAGTTTCAGCACATACCAGTTTATAGTGCTTCTACAATGAAATTAATTAATTCACATAAATTTTTGTTGCTGGAACTAATGGACCAAAGAAGAATGGGCTTTTGCCCCTTTAACTACTAGCCCAATCTTGAAAACGGAAGCAATCACTTATAATTTTCCACACGTTGTTGTTAGAAGTGCACTGAGCAGTCAGCAGGAAGTTCTGGTTGAAGTAATGTTGTCTGTTTCCATCAAACTTCACAGTTCCACTGGTCACAACAAGAACTGTGGTCTGGGACTGGGCAGCTTGCTCTTTATCCACACACAAAAAAGAGAAGAGGTCAGTTTCTATCTCTAAATAAACAGATTTTCAGGCTTAAATTACATTGCTTATAATCTAAAGCTAAAAATTTTTTCATAAACTTTCTTTACTTTGAGCATAATCTTGAGCATGTACGCCCAAAGCCAGAAAACTACTCATTTCAAAGATATTAAAATGATTTTCAGTCCAGAAAGATTTAAGTACTCTAAAGTTTCAAAACAAAGAGCTTACGTCTAGCATAGGACCATTTGAATACTGTATGTATTAATATTTTATTGGGTTTCTAACAATTTATTCAATTTTGCTTCTTAAGCTATCGTTCTTTTCAAGAAATATAAAGGAAAAAAAAATCACACTAAACCAGTACTTAAGACACTTAGAACCCCATCTAGAGGTTAATATTATAAACTGCATCAATCTACCTTAAACTAAATTCTGTCTTGTCAAGTCATCCTTTCTTGTAATAGAGTAAATTTCTCTGAAATTTTAATAGGTTGTAAGATACTAAAACACATTAATCAGAGATATGGTATAATTTTTTCTCTGGAGAAAAACAAAACTATCTATTTAGGTAAAACAGATACTCTCTCCTCTCCATTAACAAAAATCACATTTAGTCTCAATTGTTCATACAACTTTTAATAAGCCGTAATCACACCATCTACAAAAACCTACTAGTGGTTCTTTGGAGTGAGAAGCATCTAAAGGAAGACCAAAAGTCTGACTGGATAGCTGAATTTTTTCATAATATTTAACTTGCTCAAAAACTTGCTTGCTGCTTTTGGTGTAAAAGCTCGGTGCTCACTAAAGAAAAACAAAGTACCTTGAGACACCATGATCTTACCATGAACTGGTTGGCAATCTAACATATTGACCTGGAACTCACTAGAAGGCAACATCTCAAAAAAATTAGTTAGGGCTTGCATCCCTGTAACAACATTTCCATTCCATATTAAAGTGGCCGTGTCCTGATACAGCCTGGTTAGTGCCTAAAAAGAGAGAAAAATTTTTAAAAGGGAGTTTTGTTTCTAGGTAAGCATTTTATAGAAATGGACTAACAGGATACAGATGGTATATAAACATTTTCATGGTTCTACCTCCATCTCCGCTCCCTCCTCTCCACCGGAAACCAATGTGAACATGGTGTCTGTCTTATAATCTTGTACTTAGATATTATCCTACTCTTTATAAACTAGGCAGTTAAATATTTTTTTTCATATTTTACTTTAACCACAATGAGAAAAGCTTGCATCCAAACTGGAAGAGTTTTTAAAGTTTTGCTTTCTGTATTAAAATGAATTAAATGATTACAAATTCAAAGCACATGCAGCCCAACACGTTTTAGTCTCTTTCCCATTTCTAATTTTGAGAATTAACAAAGTTGTCAATCAAGCTTCACCTGTACACTTTAATCCTAGTGGTTACATACATGCCAACAATTTAATGTTTGTATGTTTAGAAAGAATTAGTTCCTGTGTTCTTAGCATACTTAGTTCAAAAGAAGCCTGAAGGGCTGGCCGGTTAGCTCCATTGGTTAGAGTATGGTGCTGATAACAAACCAAGGTCCAGGGTTTGACTCTTGTACCAGCCAGCCACCAAAAAAAAAAAAAAAAAAAAAAAAAAAAAAAAAAAAAAAAAAAAAAAAAAAAAAAAAAAAAAAAAAAAAAAAAAAAATCCTGAGTACCTGCTAAAGCACAACCTTTGATAAGTCAAATAAGTTAAGGCCCAAATGAGGCAAAATTCAATAGGTAACTCTTTGGGGTCACAGGACACACTATTTGCTTAATTATAAAATTTAACTTGGGTTAAAAGGCCAACAGATATCTTGATGCTGAATGAACTATGTTGCCTTTTTTTTGCTACTTTATTTTTGAAAGCGGTAAGGCACAACAAACATTCAAGACAAGGCACAATAAACATTCATTGTCACACCCCCTGCCCCTGTCATCAAGGCAAGGCACAATAAACATCAATTGTCCCATCCCTTGCCCCTGTCATCAAACATCGCTAACAGGAACTTCTTTTATGTTCTGCCTTTTAAAAAATAGGCTTTTATAGATAAAGTATAAATTTTTGCACCTGCAGGATAGAAGTTCTCTAAAACACAGCCGTATGCTAATAAGAAACCCAGGCAAGACTCATTTGATCACATACTGGAAAAAATTACTTAGAAGATATGGCTCAGGGATAAATCATAATGAAAAAGCTGATGAAGTGAGAACTTGGTCTGTTGAAGACTAAAAGTATCCATGCTATGTGTATTTTCTTTGACAGTGTCAGCTATAGTTGTGAGATGTAATCAGAAATTACTAATATATGAAATAAAAGGGGCAAATTAGGAAACATGCCCTGGAATGGCAGACCCCTTCACTAGATAACACTACTTTAACCATACTGGTCAAATGATGGAACTAAGAAAAGGTGACATATTTTTGTAAGCATATGCTGGGTTAAGTGCAGTATTTAAAATAATCCCTATTTATCACCCTAAAAATAAAATGAGGTTAAGAGAAGTTAGCAACTTGCCCAAGGTCACAGAACTAGGCAAAGGCAAAAATGGGATGATTCCAGAGGCCACAATCCCACTAATACCATATTAATACTTCCCTATGCAATTCAATTTTAAAGAACAAGTCACAGTTACCACTTACGCAATCCAGATGAATGGCTGACTCAAAATAAGAACTAGTATTTAACAAAGAGTAGTAGAACCTATAACACTCACCCATCTTCTTTTGTCCATTGTCTCATAGTAAATACTGACAAATTCCTCAGCAGCTCTACATGCCTGATCTACATAAGTTTTAAAATCCTACAAGAAAAATTTCAGAAGTGTAGGTTACCACCCCTCCAACCCCTCATAAACACAAAACCAACAGAAGCTGATGGTTTATTTCAAACACTTTGCAGCTCTATACACAGTCCACACTCTTCCATATAAATTAGGACACTAAAGTTTAGGGCTCAAAAGTTTACAATTTAAAAATTTTTCACTATTTTTAGGTGCATGTCTTTAGAACATAATCATCTCTCATTAGTGAATTTGATTTTATTCACTCTTCACATATGAATCCATAATCTTTGCTTGGCAACTAAGATTTTACGCCCAAACTCAAAATTTGAAAGAAAAAATAAATAAATAAAAATGAAGTTCAATGAACTACTTGAAAAACTAGGCAACTCCACTTATGAAACTTCCTCACATTGCGTAAACATTCACTGGTATTTGTAAAAGAACTGAAAAACGGAAAACAAGAAATGCTGTTGGGGTTCACGCAGGAGGACTGAGGATTAAGTACCTTCTTCTCCAGCCATTTACCGGGCCCGGCCTTTCATTTGAATTAAAAACATTAAATCGCCCGTTTCACTTCTTTATCAGGTGATCGAAAGTGATTTTGACAGAAATAGCAAGCTATAAACCACACACCCGAACATACCCGCAACTCCCTACACCCCACTTCACGCTCCTTTCCGGGACCAGAAATCCAACGCACCGCTGTCGGTGGGCGGGCAGCAGATAGAGGGCCCCGCCCCGAGCCCGGCGGGCCAGGACCTGATTCGCCATCTGCCCACGTGACCAGCAGCTAGCCGGGTCCGGCGCCCCTCCCCTCAGCCGCCCCGGCTTTGGCGCTCCGGTTCCCTGCGGCGGCCCGGGCACTCACCACAGACGTGTTCATCGGGGAAACCAAAGCAGCGCGTTCCGGCACTACCGGCGTCACTACGGCCTCACGTGTCTGGCGCCGATGGCTGCCAAATGAGCAAATATTTCAGAACAGAGTTAAACCCGCCAAACACACAGAATTTTCTACCCGCCCATTCTCTCCCGGAAGTAGCTCGGTCCGTTGTTAAAAGCACCCCGGTGTTCCAACCTTAAGTCCACCACCCTTCAGTTCCTATTAATCCCTCCCATCCGCCTTACTGATTTATTCATTTATAGTTGAAAACAAAAAAATCACTACTTTTGTACACAGCACACTCAAAACGAAAGCATCATTTTCTAACGATGGCGCTCTGGGACAAGCTGATAAGAAAGGGTCCAATTAGGGGGACTTCTTTACTTCAGGAGGCGGGGCTAGAGCCAGCCGAAGACCAATGAGAAACGCGAGAGACCTACCATACCCTTAGCCTATAAGAAAAAGAGGGTGGAGCTTGGAGAAAGGCGCGCAATCATACTGGGCATGACTGACAGAAAACGATTGAGTCCTGGAACATTCTGGAAGAATCAATCCTCACCGAATTAAACGCCAACGTCCTGGCAGTATGCCTAAAATTACTCACTATTTGATTTTACACTAGTCATAGTCAACAGAAAAGGGTCATCCAGTTCCATTCTGGGATACATTTTTAAATGTCTCACAGATCCCAACCAAAAATTAGTCTAAGGTGTCATTTACCACCTTTTCACGGCTTATTATTCTGCAAAGTACTTTAACAATAGCTGAAATGTTCGGTAGTGACCACTACAAGGCATTTTCCTAAGCATTTGTATCCACACTCACTTATAATAATGCTGAGGTAATTGCTAGTATTTTATCATCTCTATCTGATAGCTAACACATAGAGTGATTAAGTAGCCTGTCCAGGGACAAAGTAGTTGAGTTTCAAGTTTAAGCAATATAACTGTCCTGGCGATCTAGCTTCGCTCCCCACTGTCCCTTAAAACCGCTAATCTCGAAACCACCAGGGAAGTCAACTAGATGTGTCTGTAGTCTTACTGTGAGTGGCTGGTACTTGGCTCTTCATGATGACGGTCACGCCTTTCTCGGCTTCTTCCTCTGTCTTCTGGATACCAGCCTCTTCCGAATTTTTTCATACTTGTAATCTTATTCTTTCTCTGGCTCTCTTCCTTTCAACCCAGCTCTAGCTGTAGCTAACGGCAGCTAACAGTAGCTAACGGAACCTGCTTCTCGGCATACAGTCCTTCCTCCTCTGACTGGCGTCACTTCCGGGGTGTGTCCCCTTTTAAAGCCACACTCCTCCCACGCGATCTCAATTGCGGCTCATGTGCTAGTGAACCTCAACAACCTAACACCAGCCCCTATGTCTTTTCTGAGCTCCAATTGCACATATGGAATTTTGCTAAATATGAATACCTGAATGCACTACGGGCTTCTCAAACTCCTAAGTCCAAAATTGAAAAATTTCATCTGGGCTTCCAGTCGTCTGTATTCTCTCAGTCATCCATGCTTGAATTCTTGTAATCTTTGGTTCCCTGCCCTCCCCCCCATCACCATTCATTCATTCAACAAATATTTATTAACCATTAACTTTGAGCTAGGCATTGTGCAAGGCTCTGGATTTAAAGTGGTGAAAAAAAAAAAAAGACACGATCCATACCACTATGAAGCTCACAGTCTAATGGTAGTGCTAGACGATAAAACATTAATGAGTTACAAAGGAATTCCAAGTAACTTGCCTATTTCTGCCCATTCTCTAAAACCTCTTTCTTTCTTTCTGTCCCTCCTCTCTTTCCTCTATGCACAAACTTTGACTTTGATTGCTCTATTCTTTTTTCCCAAAATTCTATGAATCTTTACAGGCCTACCTTAGTCTGGTCTCAATTTACCTTTCCAGACTTCTCTCCCAAATTCACCAACACTGGCAAAGTTTACTACTGCTTGCCAAAAGTGACTAATTTTTACTGCTTTTCTTTTTCCTTCCTTCCTTCCTTCCTTGTGGCTGGCCTTGGTGATTGCTTTTCTTGATTGAGAACTGGTGTTTTATATGATTTTATTCAATCCTCACCACCCCAGAAAGACATTATTATCCAGATTTTCAGTAAATTAAACTGAAGTTCAAAGAAGTTACAAAAATTGGCCTAGATGACACAGCAAGTGAACCTGAGATTTCAACTCCAAACTTTCTGATCCTAAAGTCTTTTCTTTTAGACACCCTGCTATTCATGCATTTGCTTATACTATTCTTATTTTCGAATGTTTGTTCCCTTTATTTCTACTTACCCTTCAGGGACCAGTGCAGGTGCAATCTCTTTTGTGAATCCTTCCCTTATTTCATGTCTCTTGTATCTTAATGGATGTGACCGGGGATAGGGGAGTGTTGGGAGTATTGCTAAGGGACACCTGCCTTAGATGTGGAGGGAGGATTCTCTGCAAAATTCTTGCACAGAATTTTCTGCTACAAAGTAGGAATTGCTACATTGATGTGATGCAGAGCTGGGAGGCTGGGTAAACTGACAATTTAGCAACAATGTTGGGAGGTGATTGGTCAGAGCAGTGAATTTAAACCACATAAAAACTATGTTGGGTGGGGAGCACAAATGGGAACTAGATGAATAAGACACAGAATTGCCTTTTGCTAGATAACTGCATATGTGTAAAAAGTAGGGAGAGTGATTACCCTGTCAAAGGGCTTTTCTTGGAACGCAGAAAGGCATTTTGGTTGAGTACATTGTTGGCACCAGTCTGAGTTCAAGTCCTGACCATGCCACTGACTGGCTCTGTGACCTTGGTCAAATAACCCAACCATTCCTTGCCTCAGTCTCCCTATCTATAATAGAAATAATAATAATATTGTATATTTTATAGCATAGCTGTGAGAATTAAATGAGCCACATAGTCCCTGCTTGAGGAACATTATTTTTCTACCCCTGTCAGAAGAAATTATGCAGCCACTTGTTTGAGGGCATGAAGTTGGGACAGATTAGATAACTTTTGGGGATTGAGAGGCATCAGTATAGTTCAGGAGATGGTTGGGGACCCTGGGATAACAGACTATAGGAACAATAAATTGAGTCAGTTTAGGATTGCTTGTGGCTGCGCTGTGCAGCCAGATCTCTTGGTCAAGTGTAGACCTAATGCAATTAAAGTTGTTGGGAGTTATCAACATCCCTATTTGAATCTTTGCTTTGCTCTGGACCTGAGCAGGACTGCTGCAGAACAATCAGGGAAGTGATCTGAGCAGTCAGCCCCTTCTTCTCAGATCTCTAATTGGTAACAGTCCTGTTCACATTAAATAGTGCTTCTTAAAAAAATAGCTTTATTGAGATATAATTCACCCATTTAACGTGTACAATTCAGTGGTTTTTAGTATATTGAGTTATTCAAGCATCACCACAAAACTTTAGAACATTATTAACACCCCCAAAAGACACTCCTTTCCCTTTAGCAGTCAATTCCCATTCCCCTTTCATCCCAGCTATTGGCAACCATCAATCTACTTCCTGTCCCTATGGATTTGCATATTCTGGACACTTCATATAAACAGAATAGTACAATATGTGCTTCTTTGTATCTGGCTTCTTTTACATCAGAATATTTTCAAGGTATATCCATGTTCTAGCACATATCAGTACTTCATTCCTTTTAATTGCAAAATAATAATCCATTGTAAGGGCATAGCACATTTTATTTATCCATTGATGGACGTTTGGGTAGCTTCTACTTTTTGGCTATTACAAACATTTGTGTACAAGTTTTTGTGTAGAGATATCCTACGTACCTAGGAGTGGGATTACTCGTTCATATGGTAACTAATATTTAGTGTTTTAAGATACTTCCAGCCTGACTTCCACAGTGGTTGCAACATGTTATATTCTCACCAGCAATGCATGAGAGGGTTTCAGTTTCTCCACATCATCACCAATACTTGTTATTGTCATCTCTTTTTTATTATAGCCATCCTGGCAGATGTGAAGTGGTATCTCATTGTGGTTTTCATTTGTGTTTTACTGATGTCTAATGATGTTGAACATCTTTTCATAAACTTATTGGCCATTTGTTTATCTTCTTTGGAGAAGCATTGATCCTTTGTCCATTTTTAAAATTGGGTTATTTGGCTTTTTATTAC